TGAATGAGGTGAAACAGAGGAAAAGACATATATGTAAATAATAAATAGGTGTACCTTGTGTTGTAAGTAAATTACATGATGTAAGAAATATATTACAATGAGTAGAAAGTGCTTGTTTGGCCCTAAAAATGTAGAAATAGTAGAAGATGCGGAGTTGGTTTAGGCAGTTGTTTAGACAGTTGTCATTAATGAATGACATAAGTGTCGCGCCCCAGTTTTGAAAATAAAAAATTACAAGTTAGAAAAATGGATGTTTGAGTTATTTGAGTGAAAATGTGAGTTAAATGATTAGTGACAAATAAATAAAGAAAATGAAAGGGCCTAAAATGGGGTTTAAAGTGCAATGATTTTAGCCCAAATAATAGTTTAAGAAGGTTTTGAATAAAAAATCGGAGTCGCCACTTGGTATAGAGTTAAGGTGTACCAAGTCACCTAAAATGATTTTTTTTTTGATAAAATCATGGAAAACCCTTTTTAAACGACTCCTAAGTCTACGAAAATCAGAGAAAGTGTTCGGGAGTCACATTTGAAGAAAGGAAAGGCAATGATAAAAATCCAAGACACCCTTTCAACCTAACCAAGGCTAGTTGCGTGATTTAGTCAACGATTTTCTTATTTTAACCTAAAAATTTATCACATTTGGATGTACTATATGAATGTAAACTCTAGACCCAGGGAGTGTCGGGGGGTCGGAATTTTTCTTCAAAACTCAATTGGTGCAAATCACATTAATTGTGATGCCCAATAGGGACTCTTTGAAGAGGTCACCAATAATGCAAAAATATGAGATTCTAAAAAAAGAAAAGGAAAATAATATACAAATATATATGTCCTAAAAAGATGCATCATAACGGGTACGGGGAACTAATGTTTGTAACTCAATTTTCCTTTTCGTAGAGGGAATACGAGCATGCTAAGGTTAGAAAGCCAAACTCGTCCATATCCCATACTCAAGGGGTTGTTTTCCTAATCTAATCAAGCAAATGTACTAACCTATCTCTAATTTTTCTTATATGAAATGCAAGTTTAATGTCATGTTTCATACATAGAATTATATAAAGGAAAATATAAAAATAGAGGATATAGATATAGAGGGAATATGGGATAGGGGATACATGTATAAGGGGAATATGGAAAAAAAATACATATATATAAGGGGGAGTATGAGATAAGGGATGTGTGTATAAGGGGAATATGAGGGGAAAAAATACATATATATAAGGGGGAGTATGGGATAAGGGTTATATGTATAAGGGGAACATGCAAAAAATGATAAAAGACCCTAGAAAGTAAAATATGCATGAGATGAAGTGATTTTATCACACAATCATGATCTAATGCTCGAAGAGCTCCTAAGAGTCTAGCGTTGGACTAGCCCATGTCCATGAATTCTCACTAGCATTGGACTAGTGAGAAAAGTCGGAACAAGGGGCCACAACTAGCATTGGACTATTGTGGTGACGTCACACATTGATTATAACTAAACCAATAATATAAAACATAATAAAGCAAGTAAACACATAATATCACATAAACACATAACACATAATCACGATATCTAGATGCAATTTCCTAAGAAAGCGGATAACACATAACGCATAAGCATGCAAAACATACCAAGAAAATAAAGCAAACAAGCCCTAACTATTACATTAGGGGGGCCCTACTACAATCTAAGCAAAAAACGAAATAAATAAAATAAATATCTAACTATGACAATTTTGGCATTTAAATGCCTTTCAAATGACCAAAATTGAACTAAAATAAATATACAAAATTAAAGCAACTAAAACCTAAATAAATAAATAGATGAAATGAAAACATTTAAAAGGCATGTAATTAAGCACATAAAGTCACATAGGGGTATATATGGTCAAGTAAAAAATCAAAATAAAGAGTAGAGTGTACTTCCCTTGAATTGGTGCCCTAATGAAATGAATTTACTTATTTACCCTCCAAAAAAACAAAGAAAAGGTCAAGATATCACTTTAATTAATAAATAATCACATGAAAGGAAAAAAAAACACGAAATTGAATCACTCAAAGCATTCAAATAAACTAAACAACCCATATTCACCAAATTGAAATAAATAAGGACCCAATTGAAAGGATTAAAAAAGTTTGAGGGGTCAATTTGATTGATTTTTTCAATTATTTGGGCCATAGTAGAATTTAACAAAAAAAGGGGTTAGAATGCAATTTCTGAAAGTTGTGCATGCAAACTTACGAGGAAGCTTGTGCTTCTGCAACAAAAAAACTGCTGCACTTTTGTTTCGCTTTCAAACACCAATTTTAGATTCAATCGCATGCTCTAATCAAAGCTTTCTCGATCCAACATCCAAACTTTAAACTAAACAACACAAAACATAACTTTGACATCCAAACAAGCAAAAACATAGAAGGAAATCATGCAAATACTGGAGAACTTCATGCAAAATGGTTCGGCAGCCAGCTTGCGGCACAACTTTCATGGTTTCTGATGTAGTTTCTTTTCATCCGAATACAGCTAATGACTTAAACAACAAAGACTTAGACTATAGTAGCAAATTTTCCAAACATTTTCCACCTTTCGACCACAAAATCCTTATATGTAAACACAACAGTTCAGAGAAAAAGAACAGGCCCAAATCTGGAAAAATTATGAGATTTCGCTGGTTCGACACAATCAAGCAAAACTCACGAGTTTGTTAATCAAAAAATCAGTAAAAGTCTCAAACCATTTGGTTAGCAAAATCTGGACAAGGTTCTTAATATGCCAGAAGGAGAAAAACATGCAATAACAAAAGAAAACATGAAACCAGGATCATTGAGAGCTAACTTTGTTTCATCTAATGTAATCTTCCTTTTATTCAAACACTTCTAACATTTTGACCAAACAACTAGAAACAAAGCAAAGCTTTCTTTTCATTTCGATACCAAATTTCAATATTCAAAAATTCAAAAAGATTCATGCGAAACTGGAAAACAGAACATTTTGTTGCAACTTTTTTATACAACCGCAGCTTGCTTATGCGAAATAAAGCCTACCCAAGCCCAATGCTATGACTTCCACCCATGTTATCAAATGCAATTGTCTACGCCACAGAGATCCAATAAGGGAGTTAAACATAACAAACAGCAAAGAAACTGAACTTGGAGCAACGGAAGTTTCAATCATTCACAAAATAATCTCTACCTCTACTGCAACAAGCCAGAACTTCAAGCTTGTTGCAGCTAGTTGCTACGCCACATGCTGCCATCCTAAAGTGTAGCAACCACATTCAATAGCTGAACTACCCAACAACAAACAAACCCAAACAACAAAATCATGCCAAACCAAAGCCTCAGCCATCCCAAAAAATCAGTTTACCAACGTCGCTGTAACAAGTCGAAATTTTTCGAACTTGTTGCAGCAAATTCTTATGTACAAACTTCAACTAAAGCCACCTGATCCTAGGCAACAAAATACTCAAACATTCTCCCTGCTTTGCAAACGTAGATTTCAGCATAACAAAATCAGAATAAAAACACTAGCTGGGAACTTCTTGCAACTCATCCAGCACACGAACTCAGATACATTTTCAGAGGAATTGGCCATATAGATGTCCTTTCTTTTCAAAGCTAACATTTTGCTACTAAACCACTACCTAATAACAAATATAAACAGCACCGAATAGATTTCAAACCCTACCATACCTAACATGCAAAATAACAACAAAAGACAACAACTTTAAGCCATAAACAAACACGAGGAAACAGCCATCGCAAGTCTTTTGCATATTCACCGACTTAAACCAAATGACAACTCAAAAACATAACCATCAAAACATCAAACAAACACATGATTCTCGTAGAAAGTATCTATAGGAAAAGCTAAAAAAAGAAACCTTACAATGCTATTTCGATGGAATTTAGTAGCGATGGAAAAAAAAGAAAGACTCCAGTAGCTCCTCTCTTTCTCTTGGATCCCAGATTTCTTTTCTTTCTCCTGGTTTTCTCTTCACGTTGTTCCCGTAGCCCCTCTCACTTTTGCTTTTCTTTCTTTTCTCCTCAACCGAGAGCTCTCTCGGTTCTTTCTATCTCTCTCTACCTCCCTCTTTTCCTTCAGCCGTCACTCCCTTCTCTTCAAACCTTTCTTAGCCGTCACACTCCCTGTCCTCTTCTCCTCTCACTCAGTTCCCCTTTGCTAGCCTTTTAGAGCAAACCAAAATTCCCAAAACCCTCAATTCAATGGCTCCGATAGAAACTCCCTCTTGCCACTTATCACTCGGACCCTTGGATTAGTTCTTCCATCTAGATTCTTCTTAGTTCTTAGATGCAAGCCAGGTGGTTAGGGATTAACAGGATCCAATGGTGAGGAAAAAACAATGGAAAAAATGGTGGAAAAAGGAAATGGAACCGAGCTCCATTTGCTTCTGTACTTCGCGTATTTCACGCTTCTGATACGAAAGCATTTGAAATGTTTGTCTGCGTGAAGTTCACGCACGCGCGAGCTTGCTTTCTTTTTAATTTTTTTTATTTCTTTAAGAATTTAATGCAAAAATACCTTAAAATGAAAATGATAAATCCAACTTATAAATATGAACAAAATGAAGCATTAACTATAAAATAAAAATAAATAGCAAATAATAAATAATAAATAATAAAAATAAAAATTTGGTGTCTACAATAAGGTCCAGTGAACTAAAGAATCTAGAACCGAAATATAATCAGCAACGTGGATATACATACAGTTAAAATAGACTTACATCGTGTGACCAATACATTACAGTCCGTATAACTTAGTGTACATGTAGTTGTATTTGTACATAGATAATGCCATTGTCTTAGAGTAAAAGTAAGGTGATGTGAATCATTAATCATATTGATAAGCGTAATAATAGGATTTGGTATACAAATAATGTGTGATTCATAACACATTATGAATGGTAATATACATTTATATTGTCATTTATATACATACTATCCATGAAGTATTGCAAATTAGGGTGTTTGATGCATAATTGGCAGGAGCAGAAGTAATGGATTGCAGCAAATTGGTAGAAGATGGGACTCCTGAATTAGGAATGGAGTTCAACAGTGAAGAGGATGCGTACAAGTTTTACAACAAATATGCCTTAAAAATGGGTTTTAGTGTAAGAAAAAACTATCTGAATAAAGACAAAGATGACGTGACCACATCTAGAAGATATAGATGTTGACCTTGGTCCCTAACTTTTGATACTTACAAAACAATGGATAATTCTAATATTTTTTCAAGAAATACTTTCAACTACGAAACAAATCAGATTCAAAGTTCAAGTACATTGAAAGGGACAAAGGCTGCTGAAAGCTGTCGGACGCTTGGATCGGACGTCCGATACTCTTTGCTCAACTTTGGACACATGAAGAACTCCATCACCGGACGTCCGAAAGAATTAAGACATTCCACCTAACTCACTGACCTCTTTCGGACACAAGCATCGGACGTCCGATAGGATCCTTCAAAGTCGACGAAATTATCGGACGCTGAATATGTCTCCACCGGACGTCCGATAGAAATGAGATAATTTCTCAAATCTCTCTGTTTGCTTTCGGACGCACAAAGAGCTTGCACCGGACGTCCGATAGAATTGAAAAAGATTTTTCAAACTCATTGTCTGCTGTCGGACGCAAGCATCGGACGTCCGACAGTATCGGACGCAAGGCATCGGACGTCCGATACTCCAACGACTAGTTGACTGTTCAGCTACTTTCTATCCGTTGAAAACATTAATGAGGCACTTTCTTGGTCCTATATAAATAGTGGTTAGTCAGATACTTAAAATAACTTTTGCACACTGAAGAGACAAAAGATCTAGAGTGATTTTAGTGAGAAAATACTCTAAAAGGAAGATTTGTAGTCTTAGTGATGTGAGGTTCATTATAAGTTTTTCATTTGTGAGTGAATACTTCATGAGTGTAACTCTGCGAGGGTTGTCCTGAGAGATAGTAAAACGTCATAATTTGACCGAGTGGAGTTCAGGGCAAGGAGGAGATGAACCTTCTTTTGTACACAAAAGTGATGGTAATTCATCAATTTGAAGAAACTTGTTTGAATTAATCTACAAGCTCAAGAGGAGTTGGGTAGTTAATTGGTTTGCAATTCTTTCCTTTTTATTTACTTATTGTTACGTTTGTGATTTTTACATTATTTATTTCTTCCACTTGGTTGTCTTCGATCCTTACAGTTGCAGCAAGAAAGGTGTGAAGCGCAAGTACGAAGGTGATGTGATGCCAAAGAGGACACGAGTGCCAACGAAAACAGGGTATGGAGTTAAAATGGTTATCGTGTTGTTTAGAGGGACAATGAAGTACCGTGTGCATGATCTTGTCTTAGAGCATAACCATGAGTTGTACATTGCTCAATGTTCGCACATGATGCCATCACAAAGAAAAGTGAGTAAGACTCAAAGATTCCAAACTGAAATAAGCGAGGTTGCTGGGCTTTCATTGAAACAGAGCCATGAGCTTATGGGAAAGGAGACAGGTGGGATGGGTAATGTGGGATATACTCGGGATGATGTTAAATGATATCTTCGAATAAGATGGGAAAGGAGCTTGAAATATGGAAATATAGGTAGCATGTTGAATTATTTTCAAGAACAAACACTCGAGAATCCTTCTTTTTTTTTTCATGCCGTACAGCTGGACTGTGAAGAGCAGATAACGAATATCTTTTGGGCTGATGCAGGAATATTAATTGACTACAACTTTTTTGGAGACGTAATCACATTTGACACAATCTACAAAACAAATAAAAAATACTGACCACTTGGAGTATTTGTGGGTTTTAACCAATATAAGCAAATTGTGATATTCGGTGCTGTCCTTATGTATGATGAGACGATAGATTCTTTCAAATGGGTGTTTGGTACATTTCTAAAAGCAATGTGTGGAAAACATCCAAGTACCATACTAACCGACCAAAATCATATCATGGCAGCCGCTCTTTCACTTGTCATGTCCGAAACGTTTCACGGTCTATGTACGTTTCACATAAGACGTAATTTTATGAAATATCTTGGCAATCACTACAAGGAAAGTAGTGACCTTCCATACATGTTTGGTGTTTGCACGTATGAAATTGAAGAAGTGGAACAATTCAACAGGGTGTGGGAGGTGATGGTGAAGAAACACAATATTGAAAATAATGAATGGCTTTCCGGGATGTATCGAATTCGTGATAAATGGGCAAGGTACATGATGAAAGAAAGATAGACCACGGGAATGCGAAACACCCAATTTAGCGAAAGCCTAAATATAGTAATTAAAAATTATTTGAAACTGGATCACGACCTTGTGCAATTCTTTAGACATTTCAATCGGGTGGTTGATGATAAGAGACATAATGAACTCATCGCAAGAATATAAAATGAGGCAATAGCTCCCCATGATTGGGTTGAGGCAAACACCTATACTTGTGCATGCAGCAAAGACGTATTCATCAATCGTATTTAGTGCATTCCAAAATGAATATGACGAGTCAACAACTATAATTATATTGAGACAACAAGATGCAGGGATGTTTGTGGAGTTTGCGGTCATAAAGTATGATGGAGGACCTGAAATAAAAGTAGTATTCAATCGGAATGATCTAAGTGTACGTTGTAGTTGCAAAAAATATGAGAATGAAGGAATTTTGTATGGGCACGCGTTGAAGGTGTTTGATATCGTGGGTATAAAAATAATTCTTCCTGAATACGTTAAGAGGCGATGGACAAAAAGAGCTCGGGCTGGAGAATGTTTTGATCGGCGAGGACGAGAAATTGTGGCTGATCCAAAAGTAATCATTTCAACTCATTATCGAAAGCTCGCTCTAGCCATGATTAAGGTCGCAACTCGAGCAGCAATGTCGGAGGACACCAGCAAAGTAGTAATCAGCGTCGTATCCGATTTGGCAAAGAGAGTTTAGCTCCTCCTCTCAGAAAACGAAGAGCAACCTTCGTAAAATCATAAAAATCTGAATGTGGAGGAACGTGATAAAATTGAAATTGTAAATGAAATGGGAGAGGCAGTAGTCGCAAGAGGCATTAAAAAATGAGTTGGTGGGAAGAGAAGTAGAGTGATGCGATGTTCGGTCGATAAATTTGATAGAGTAAAAAGAAAATCTAAATTGTCAAGAGCTACATAGACTACGATATGGATCCATTTTTTATGATGGTAAACCTTTATGCTAAAACATTCTTATTATATTGCTGTTAACTCAAGTTTAGGTACCATTCACTATAAAGTAGTATTATTGTCGTGTCAATAATACAGATCTCAGAATCGGAGCCGACATCGGTTGACTTTGATGAACACATGTTTATGGGATGCGGTTCATCTACTGACTTAGTTTCAATTAGTATAAAATGGTCATGACTTTAGATTTTATTTAGATGTTTGTAATAGCATAATTAGTTACATTGATGTTACATTATGTGATAATTTTATTACGCCTGTCATCCCTCCTGATATATCTATTTTGTCTGTCTTATACAATTATTTGGCCCTTCAAAACTCATAGACGCATTCAAGGATCCAGTCAGTGAATGGCCCTCCAAATGCTGTTGCTCCCGAAATCGAGAAAATTGAAATGGTATGCATACATTTAGTAGGAAAAATAAAGACTTTATTGTTCGTATCATACAACTACTTTTCTGTTTATTGTAATGGTGGGCACTTGAACGGTTCAAAGCATGTATATTATGTAGTTAACGTATGCTCGCTTCTATAACCAATTGTTTTGTATTATCCGAAGGTCCACCGTTTGCCTAATCAGAGGCCTCCTGCAATAGTCCCTACAGAATGGATGCCTCCCAAATTTTCTATTTTTTTCAAGCATAACTCTGTCAGGGATATCTTAATGGTCTGATATATCATTTTTTTTTATAATGTCTAGTCCAATTTAGCTTTTGAAGTGAGCAATATAGGCACTGGTAATGATCTGTTGACAGTTGATAGTTATATTATGTAATGTAGGAGGAGTGTGCAGCAATTTCAACACACTGTGATATTGATGCATATCATGTATTTTCACCATCACTGCAGGTGACAAACTTTTACCGTTACATCACATATTTATGTAGTATTGTTATTTGGATACTTGGATATCGTATATTATTAACCGTCTGTTCCATTAGATGTATTAGCTGATTTGCCATTGTTACACATTTCAGGAAAGAAATAACACCCAAGGATTGCGACTAACTGTTGATGTCGCCTCCCTTCAGAGGCAGATTGATGAATGATGTGTATCTCTAATTTTTTAATAACACATTAAGTGGTTGACCAAACTATTGAGTTCCGATTATTCATTCACCAAGTTGACCTCATTTATTGATTTTAGTATTTCTCTGTTGAAGATATTGCTCAGTTTCAATCGCTTCCCTATTGTCAGTTTCTTTTAATCTACAATCTCGAAATGAATTAGTGCATGTTGACCGTAACTCACTAGATTTTTTTTTTTATTTTCATACATTAGTTGTCTTGAACGAGATTTGCAGTGTTTTTCAACGAACATTTGTTATTGGACCTCCATGTCGGCTTGGTTGGAAATGCTCCATATCTACGTTACAAGCAGTTAATAAGCTATTACAAGTTATTCACGTACCTGTACAGGCACCTTTAATGTTTCACTCTGTTCAAACTTAGATAAGTGGGATACAATTTTACTAATTTTCATTGTTAGTAGTCATCAATTGTTCTGTAATGGGTTGTATAAAGTTGTTAAGAAATTATAAAGTTGACTGAAAATTAGAGTAACATTTTTACAATACGATTGAACGCGTTTCTTTATGATTATGGTATTTTTCATAGGATACCATAACAAATAACTGTCGTGATATATATACCATTGTCCAACATTCAGCTACAATCATAAATAACATCTTTATTGGCATGGATGGCACTTAGAATGGCTAGATGTATCATATAGGAATTGGCCTTAACAAATTGTTATTATTTTGTTATGATGCCTGGCCGAATTATTATGTGCTATTTAGTCACCAAAAAATTTACATAATTCACTACATATGGGTTACATTTTCAGAACGAACGGTTTGCACCATTGACATGATGTATTATAGGCACTTCAATAGGTGTTACAAGAATCTTCCTAATTGAATTATGATCAAGTAACCACACGACCACAATAAGGTAATAGTTTCGCAGAAGAAAATGATAGTAGAAGGGGACAACTAATTCCGTTTGTTAAAACTAAGTTTTATAATACAACAAATATTCATAACGAAGCATACAGAATGAGTTACAACCAATTAGGTGTATGTTACAATATGTTACAACTAGTACAAGGATCCTGTTACAGGCATCATTAATATCCAAATAGGGGGCAAAATGTTAAAGTAGAGATTATAATGTTAAAACTTTTTCTTGCTACCTTCACGAACATCGGACTACATCCCTCGTCATCTGTCGTATCCCATACAACACCTGGAAACGCCGTCATGCATTAGACAATCGGGTATGTACCTTTGAAAGTCATCGTTACTTGATTCAGTAAAGTCAGATAGGTCCAGGTCTGATATAAGCATGGGATCTGCTAAAATATTTTCGACATCAAAATCTTTTGCAATAGCATGTCTTTTTGCGGCCTCAACCTCGTGAAACCTGTGTAGCCTACGCTCCATCTACATAACTTCTCACTGTAGCCTATGTAATATGCTTGCATCATTCACTTTTAGTCCTATAACAAGCTCCGCTGAGCATGTTCTCCAGACGCGGAGGCTATGCCAGCGACAAAATACCTGTAATTCCATTCTTCGCTCACGAATAGGCTCCCATATGGGTTTAGGTTCGAGAATGTAATTACCAGAGAGGGTAGGTGCTCGTGGATGTTATCTTTGAAAATGTGGTCAGCTAGTCCCAGAGAGTTGTTGGTGTTAAGTGGAGCGTTCCTGAAATCGCATTTGGTACCATATAAAATCCTCCCATCTGGTGTTTCGTACCTCCTTAGAGTATTGGTTGGACCCGACGATACTTTCCGTCTTTTTTGCTGAACCTTTGATTGTGAGCTTGTATGAGATTTTTCAAAAGTGGGTTGCATGACTATGCTAAGACCTACTACTTTTTGGTTGGATGAAAGGAACTATGGTCTGCCAAAGTATTGGGGAGGAGATAATAAAGAGGTATAAATTTTTTTGGCAGATCGTGGGTAGAAGGTTTATATGTGTATGTATATAAACATATTTAGTTATTGTGTGATATAAATAGCATCACATTTATATTTAGTGATTGTGTGATATCAAAGCGGATGTCCGTGCCATGCATAGTACGCATTTATTTTGAACACGTTTAACAACTGCATGCTGTGTCATTTCATCCTGTTCTCCACGTTGTGACGCCCCCATTTCTCCCAAGGGCAAACCCAAGGGTATCCGCGGGACGCTTACCCAACTCTCTCCAGGACTCGAGACAATTCCAATTTAAACTTAAATTCTAATACTAACAATGAAAGTCGGAATAAAGGTACGAAGTCATTTCCATACATAAATATTCAATCTCACATCACAATTTCAAATTTTTCATTACTT